CCAAAAAAAAAGAAAAACAACAACAACAAAAAAAACATAGGAGGATCTGTGGTGGAAGTGGTCTCCAGCTACAAGTACTTGGGTGTACACCTGACTGACAACCTCATCTGGGGCAACAACACCACCAGCCTGATCAAGAAAGCTCATCAGAGACTCTGGTTCCTCAGGCGGCTGAGACGAGCTGGTCTGGGAAGCTCAGTCCTCACCTCCTCCTACAGGTGTGCAGTGGAGAGCATCCTGTGCTCCAGCATCAACATGTGGCATGGAGGCTGCACAGCTGCAGAAAGAAAAGCTCTGCAGAGAGTGGTGAAGGCTGCACAGAAGATGTTGGAGTCAGCCTCTCCACCATCACAGACATCTACACCTTCAGATGCAGGAAGAGGGCCACCTGCATCATGAAGGACCCCACTCACCCAGCACATACACTTTTTGCCCCACTCCCCTCAGGAAGGAGGTTGAGGAGCATTAAGTGTAGAACCACTAGACTGAGGAACAGCTTCTACCCTGAGGCTGTTAGACTCATGAATCTCTAACCAGAATAATCACTGTGAAAAATCACATCATGCTGCTGCTGATCCGTTTCATGTTGCTGCTGATCCATTTCATGTTGCTGCTGATCCATTTCATGTTGCTGCTGATCTGTTTTATGTTGATGTGTTCGTTCGTGCTCATCTGCTCACACAGACTCATGTTCGTGTTGCTGTGTGGCGTATTGTTTCTATGCTATTAGTGCTTAGTGTGTTTTTAAATAACATTTTTCTTAGTTCATATCTTGGATCTTATTACTGTTTTTTTATTTTACATTATATTACTTTGTTGGATGTAACTGGGACCCTGTGCACACAATTTCATTCCACTGTATGTACCACATCTGGTGGATTGAAAGAATCTTGATTCTTGGGTCAGGAGGCACAATTTCTGCTATTTTAATGTTGCTGTGGTAGTGAGAAGAATTATGTTCAATAAACCTGATTTATTTAAAGCCCAACTCCTCCAGTCAGCAGATTACCGGGAAGCTAAGTGAGATAATGAACACAAAGGTGGGACAAAAAGTGGAGATTCAATATAACTTGAAGTAAATAGTCTGAATTGTCTACAAATTGACTACAAAAATGTGCCTCTAATTGTGCAAATTATCTAGTGCTTTGTTATTTGTTGTGTAGCTGCTGCTAAACATCTCAAGGTCAACACATCAAGGAATTTCTCATCTCTTATTTAAAAAGATAGGTAGTTCAGGTTAGAAACAGTTACCAGTACATAGAAACAAATGAGTCATTCCGACAACAAAACATAAATAAATGCTATTGATTGCTCAAAAAGATTTGGAATGAAAGCTCTTTAAAACATTAACCAACAGGTGGTGAGAAAACTTTAACTCCTTACCTATAGAGTTGCAGCGTTCCACTTGATTGACAGGTTTCTCAGGGGCGGGGAACCTGGAGTCCCGCCTGCAGTTGCGAAGCTTGACGAAGAGTCCCTTGTTGGGCGGACAACGAAAATGCCGTTCGCCGAGGTAACTGCCGTCTGTTCCAGCAGACAGCTCCTGCTCCTGACACACGCACACAATATTCACTCTCATTAGCAAAAAATGTGAGCAACTAGATGGCGTGAAGGAAATCAAAGGGAACTGCAAGTGTTTATAATCTGTAGTTATTTGAAATGCATAAGGTGAGATTATGATTGGAAAGTTTCCGGTTCGACACCCCCAGGACCAACAACATCAAAATGTGGGTGGGAAAGGTGAAGCACCCACAACTGATTGCACCCTCATTTGCCCCAACGACAACAATTTAACAACAACCACCAGGACAGGTGGTAGTGGATTTTGCCAACAGAATGGAAATGGCTGTAGTCAACACTTATTTCCAAAAAAAGGAGGAAAATAGTGACTTAAAAGAGTGGAGGAAGGCATATGCAAGTAGACTACATTAAGTGTAGAAGAAGAAACCTGAGGGAGATTGAAGACTATAAGGTTGTGGCAGGAAAGAGTGTGACCAGACAGCATCGGATGGTTGTATGTAGAATGACTGTTGTGAAGAAGAGAAAAAGAGTAAAATCAAAGAAGTCCAAATGGTGGAAACTGAAAAAAAAAAAAAAAGAATGGTGTGAGAAATTCAGAGAGGAGCTGTTAAAGGCTCTGGGTGGTAAGAAAGAGCTTCCAGATGACTGGGCTACTACAGCAACAGAAATTAGAGAGAGAGGTAGGAAGGTACTTGGTGTGTCATTTGGACAAATAATGGATGATAAGCAAACCTGGTGGTGGAATAGTGAAGTGCATGAAGCTAGTCAAAGAAAGGTTTTCCAAGAAGAAATGTGACAGTGAGATAATGTAAGAGAGGAGACAGGAATATAAGGAGATTCAATGTAGGGCAAAGAGAAAAGTAGTTAAGGCAAAGCAGAAGGTTTATGATAAGTTTTATGGGAGGCTGGACACTAAAGAGGGCGAGAAAGACTTGTACTGATTGGTGAGATAGAGGGATCAGCCTGGAAAGGATGTGCAACAGGTTAGGCTTGTTACAGATGGAAATGGTAATGTTCTAACAAGTGATGAGATCATGATGGGAAAATGGAAGGTGTATTTTGAAGATCTAATGAATGAAAAGAATGAAAGAGAGAGTAGAGGTCATAGAAACTGTGGACCAGGAAGTGGGAAATTAGTAAGGGTGAAGCCAGGAAAGCTCTGAAAAGAATGAAGAAGGGGAAGGCAGTAGGACCTGATGACATACCAGTGGAGGTTTGGAAATGTCTTGGAGAGGTGGTAGTGAGGTTTTTGACTCAAATATTCAATGGCATATTTGAGAGTGAGGAAATGCCTGAGGAATGGAGAAGTGTGCTGGCACACATTTTTAAGAACAAGGGTGATGTACAGAGCTGTAGCAACTACAGGAGAATTAAGTTGATAGGTCACACAATGAAGATCTGGAAGAGAGTTGTGGAAGCTAGACTTAGACAAGATGTGACAATTTGTGAGCAGCAGTATGTTTTCATGCCAAGAAAGAGCATCAAAGATGCCATCTTTGCTTTGAGAATGCTGATGGAGAAGTACAGAGAGGGTCAGAAAGAACTCCATTGTGTCTGTGGATTTAGAAAAAGCATATGATAGTGCTGCAGAGGGAAGAGATGTGGTACTGCACGAGGAAATCTGGACTGTCAGAAGTATGTTAGACTGGTACAGGACATGTATGAGGATAGCAGGACAGTGGTGAGATGTGCTGTAGGAGTGACAGATGGCTTCAAGTGGAGGTGGGAGTGCATCAAGGATCAGCTATGAGCCTGTTCTCGTTTGCTCTGATCATGGACCGACTAACAGATGAGGTCAGGCAGGAATCCCCATGTTTGCAGATGACATTGTGATTTGTGGTGAGAACAAGGAACAGGTGGAAGAGAACTTAGAGAGGAGGAGCTACGTACTTGAAAGAAGAGGAATGAAAGTCAGCCGTAGTAATACAGAGTACATGTGTGTGAATGAGAGGGAGGCCGGTGGAACAGTGAGGCTACAAGGAGCAGAGGTCACAAAGGTGCAGGACTTCAAGTACTTGGGGTCCACTGTCCTGGAAAATGTGGAGTGTGGTAAAGAGGTGAAAAAGAGAGTTCAGGCAGGATGGAGTGGATGGAGAAAAGTTTCAGGTGGGGAAAAAAAAAAAAAAAAAGAGTTTCAGCAAAGGTCAAAGGAAACGTTTACATGACAGTGGTGAGACCAGCTGTGTTGTATGGTCTGGAGACAGTGGAACTGATATAAAACCGGAGAAAGAACAGGAAGTAACAGAAATGAAGATGTTGAGGTTCTCCTTAGGAGTGACAAGGATGAATAAGATTAGGAAAAAGATAATCAGAGGTACTGTCAGGGGAATTTAGGTAAAGGTCATGGATGTTATAATTTACTAATGTTAAATTAATGTGTGTGAGTTCAGAGAGTTATTTTCCTCTCCAAGAGGAGCCTGCACACCTGATAACTCCTAACTCCTGATGCCTCCAAATCTGTAAGCTGGCAGACTGAGGTCATCAGGGTCTGTTTGATAAACATTATAAAAAGCAATTCTTTATTCAAACAGAGGTTAAAACTGTGTTTAGGATTTTTTTTTCCTCCAAACCCTATGTCATTTTCCACCACTTTTATTGTCTGTCCAAACAGATCTCACTTGTAAATGAGTCTTCGAGGCTCAATGTGACTTATCTGTTTAAATAAAGGTTGAATGAATGAATTAAAGTTCAAGTTCCGTTTTCTTTATTGTCATTCACATCACATGTGGTACATGAGGTGGAATGAAATTGTGTACTCAAGATCCCAGTTACTGTCCATGGCTGACCTTGCAATTGGAGTTTCAATTTAACATCTTTGTAAGCCTGTGTGTGTGTGAACTCTGCCCCTTGCAAGTAAACTGGATAAAGTCTTCTCATGCCCTCAGTGTGGCTTATTTTCAGTAAGTAGATGATGAAAGGATATTTATTTATCCGACAGATACAGCACATGTTAAACAACTGGGGGATAAAGTTAGAGAGGCCAAACTGAGATGGTTTGGACATGTCCAGAGGAGGGACAGTGGGTATATTGGTAAAAGGATGTTAGAAATGCAGCAGCCAGGAAAAAGACAAAGAGGAGATATATGGATGCAGTTAAAGAGGACATGGAGGTAGTTGGAGTGAGGACAGAGTGAGATAGAGGATAATGACTCGCTATAGTGAACCCTGAAGAGGGAACAGCTGAAAGAAGAAGACGACTCCTCAGATCAAATGGACAACAGAGTTGGCAGTTTGCGCACAATGATGGTCCCATGAGAGAAGGGCGTGGCACTTCGATACAAGCAACAGTTTACTTAGGTGAAGAATGAGGTCATACTGTCATTCTATCCTTTCCTGTATCAAAAAAGCTTGCAGCTTACTCTCAAGATCCATCAGATCAACACTGGGTCTGAGTTTGAGCTAATCCACCACATGATCAATTAGGAAATAACAGGAGGAACAGGTAAGGAGTTTCTACAACCCCTGGCAAAAACGGAATAAGGTAAATGGATTGTACTTATATAGCGTCTTTCTGTCTAATCAAGATAAGCAAAGCGCAAAAACTATAGAATCACTGCTCTTGGAGGATGTTCTTTCAATTATTTAAATGTGTATGTATATATCTATCTATCTATATCTATATCTATCTATCTATATCTATCCATCTATATCTATATATCTATCTATATCTATCTATAACTATCTATATCTATCTATCTATAGCTATATATCTATCTATATCTATATATATCTATATATATATCTATATCTATCTATATCAATATCTATCTATTTATATCTATCTATATCTATCTATCACACTTGCTTTTTTCAATCAAGTAAAAAAGAAGGAATTACTGCAATTTGCACCACTAAAACAAACACCTGCTTCTTATTAAATCAGTTTAAATTCATTTTAAAAAGAGTGATCAAACCTTGGAGAGCTGTCACATAAATCAGATTGACATGAATAATGGCTTCAACAACAGAGAAGTCAGTTAAAATAAAGGAGTGGTTATGAAACTTATTTAAGAAGATAAATTACCCTGAAATGTAAAAGACGTTGGCTGTTCCCAGTCAGCTGTGTCTAAAATCTGGACCAAGAACAAACAGTATGGGGAGGTTGTAAAAGGGAAGCTCACTGGTTGACCAAGGAAGACATCAAAATGTCAAGATTGAAAACTTGAAGCAAAATAAACAGAAAATGAACAACAAAACAAGTGGGCAGAAACTAAACTGTCATTGCTATCATTACCACCCAAACAGACGAAAACGAGAAGACAGTGGGCATGGACTGTGGGTGACTGTAAGAAAGTGTCACATCAGGTAAAGACATGGGGAGATGTAATCTTTCCCGTTAGCCAACATCTTAAATAAATGATGACGTCCACATTGGAATTTTGTACACTTTCTTTATTCATCAGTTGAAAGGATATTTGTTAACGATGGCTTCATTTTTCAAGATGTTGATGCATCTTGCCATCAGGCAAAGGATGTGAAAACTTTCCATCAACAAAGACATAATGGCAATGGCATGTAAGGCAAATAGTCGAGACCTGAATCCAGTTGAAAAATGTTGGCGGAATTTGGAGAAAATGGTCAATGACGAGACTTCAACCTGAAAAGTTTATCTGAGAACTGCGATAAGAGCCAGCTTGATAAGGCGTACTGTTTGTTCTTAGTCAGGCCCTCTCTACTCTTCTCTGGTGGTTATGGCAGTCTACAGTGAATGCTAATGGATTCATGCCAGTCATTTAGACATGGTGCGGGATGACAGAGTTGTAAAGTGTTTAATATCTGTTTCCAAATGATAGGTGCAGATGTTCTATAAAGCTTCAGGCACAACATAACAATACTCTTTTGCTGTCTTGTGGTCTATCCTGAGCAACCATCACAATAGTCTCCAATAGTTTCAACACCAGGACACTGTGATATCTATACATACTGTAATACATGCAAGGCAAATGCACCACACAACACAGTGAACCCTATCCAATTCCATCAAGTACTGTTAATTGCTATACTATGCTATTGTTGGATGTAACTGGGACCCTGTGTAAACAATTTCGTTCCACCTCATGCACATGTGATGCGAATGACAATAAAGAACCTTGGCCTTGACCTTATTTAAGTAATCCTGTGTGTCTGGTGACCGACCCTGACCATTTCAACTGTTCACACTCGCTGGTAGCTACCTGAGAAAACACTTTAGGTCCATTCATGGTGCAACCTGGAATGGCTTCTAGTACCCCAAACATCCAAACTCCTTACAAATCAAATCATTTACATACCCATCACTGTGCTACACATGCACCAAATTCTATCCAAACCAGACCATTCTGTTGGAATGCATTACCGTGTTTTAAGTGGGACCATGTTAAACTGGAAAAACAACAATAAACTGGCCTGTTTGACCAATCAAACACCTACAACGCAGCCTTGGCTCTCCCCAGGCCATTTCACAACCAGTCATGCATGTGACAGAAACATTCATACATTGGTCCTGTTGGTAAACAACTCACAAGCAACAAGGACTAGATAGTTATCGACTAAGAATGGATGGGTGGTTGTTGACTTATGACTTCAACAATCCTTTTGCTGCAAGTGTCCCAGCAATGGCTAAAACCGTTGAACTTCCCTTTAATCTGAACTGAAGACGCCTTTTGAATGAGAGGTGAAACATCTTCAAGAAACAAGAATGGAGTCCAGTTTTATTTCCTATTCAAGCACTTAGGGTTTTGAATGACTGAAAATCTAAACCAGAATGTATGATCCTATATTTATGTCCATAAAATGTATAAAAACAACAAAAAACAGCAAATAATTGGCTTAGTTTTGGTATATGTGTGTGTGTGTGGGTGTGTGTGAGAACATTGAAGACAAAAGTGTCCTTACCAGCTCGATTCCAGCCACTGGTTCTGAAATGTTGCCCAGCTGACCAATCCATCGGATAACCCCAAAAAGTGGTGGGTCGTTTACTTCAACCATTGAGCCCACCTCAAGGTCACTCTCCAGTTCTGGCTTTTCATTCTCCCCTGAATTCTCACCATTTTCTCGACTTCTTAGAGGTGAGGGAGGGCTATTGGAACCGTTGGTGAGCTCGAAGGCCGTGGCCGTCGATGGTGGGCTTTGGGGTTTTGGAGGTGGTACTGGAGGACTGGGCAGGACCTTATTGGTGGGTTTTGGTAGGGGCAGGGGAGGAGGTTTGAGGGCTGGTCTGGCAGGGGGTACCAGTGCAATCTTAGAAGCAGCAATAGACTGTGATGTCGTGGGGGATTTAGTAACAGGAGGCAATGCTGGCTTTAAGATGGACTTTGGAACTTGTTGAAGAGGGGTGTGATTGAAGGGTTTATCCTCTGGAGACAGAAATAAATTGTAAGGCTCAAAATTATTTCAAATGACAAAAAGATCTTTCTTATTTGACGTTTGTTTTTGTTTTTTTTGTTTTTTTTACAAAGCCATAGTACCTCTATTCAGATAATTCAAGACATTTAGCTCACCATTCAAAATTGGAGCTTTACAACTTTGTTTTCATTCATTTAACCTTTATTCATACAGGTTAGTCTCATTGAGCCACAAGGACACATTTTCAAGAGAGACCTGTTTTAGACAGATAATGTATTAAGTACAGACAACAATAATTCAACAAAAAATCATTTAAAATCAAATAAAGAAAGTTATAAATGCTGTCAAATCAAAGGTGCCATATAAAACAAGGTAAAATACTAAAAACAGGATCATATTTGTTTTGAAATTTCTATTAACTTTATCAAATGTTTAAAATCCCTTAAAGAAAACAAAGTCGACAGCTTCACTTCCTGTTACAAGGTGTTCCAGGTTACAGGAGCAGAGTAAGAAAAGGCCTTTTTGCCAAGTTCAGTCTGCACTGAGGGAACTCTGCAGGTAATGATAGCCTGAGATCGCACGCCGTAACTGCACTGATGACGTGACATGTGGGAGGAGATATAAGAAGGTAGCAGACCAAAGAGTGATTTAAAGATAAAAATGTACCAGTGTGAGAGCCTATGTGTAAATAATGATGACCAAATGACCAAGGAGTACAGGGTGCAGTGATGTGTACGGTAGTTACAACCGGTTATGAACCTTAGCGTGCCATGGTAGACAGCATCCAACATCTGCAAGGAGCTGGCAGGGGCATTCATGTAAATAATGTCACCATAATTGATGGCTGGTCTGAAGGTAGCGGTTACAAGGCGTTTCCTGGCATTCAGAGTTAAGCAAGCTCCATTTCTGAACAAGAAACCCAGTTTCAATTTCAGTATCTTTATCAAGCTTTCAACATGCAGCTTAAAAGAGAGATGTGCATCGATCAAAATGCCCAAGTATTTGTAAGAATCCACAAACTCAATAAGAACACCAAGCACGGATGAGATGGAGAAAGAGCTGATGGAACTGACTTCCTGTTGGAAAACAACAGCCCTTTGGTTTTGTCAGCATTTAGCACCAGCTTGAGATAGAACAAGTCTGAATGATGTCAAATGAAGACTGTAGAAGCTGGAAACCCTTGACAACGGTGTTAGCTCAACAATAAACAACTGTGTCGTCAGCAAAGAGATGAAAGGAGGCATCAGGAATGTTTTGACCTAGATTATTTATATAAATTGGAAAAAGAATGGGTCCTAAAACTGAGCCTTGTGACACACCATTAGTGACCGTTAAATTGCTAGACAAAAGTATTGTTGTGTCAAAAACATTTTCTTCGACCTGAGAGATAGTTTGAGAACCAGCCAACAGTGTGATCTGAGAACTCAACATCTGAGAGCTTGTGGCATAAGATGTCATGATCTACAGTATCAAAGGCTTTGGACAGGTCTAAGTAAAGTGCAGCACAGTAATCCTTAGCGTCCAATGCTTCAACATCATTAAAAACCTTTAGCATAGCAGTCATTGTGCTGTTGTTTCCTGAAGCCATATTGTAATTCTTTAACTCTGAACACTCCAGCTTTGCATTTAAAAAGCTCCCTGGATGAAAAGAGAAACATCTTCAACTAACAGAATACAAGTTTTCTTGTTTATTAGAGATTAATTTCAATATCAGTGTGAAATCGATAGCTGTACCTGGGGAAACCTTGCTGGCTGGCAGGAGTTGTCCATACAGGACAGAAGGAATATGACAGAGCTTCTGTTCGTTGTAGGTCCCATCCCAGTTACCAACAGGAGCGTCCTGCAATGTAAAAAGCACAAACAAATCAAACACAATAGAAGGACACAAACAGAAGGATTTAAATTCATCAGATATCTGTATCATACTTTTATTTTATGAAAATAAAATTCTAATTACACCAGACTATTTTACATCTTCTGTAAAGTGCACAAGCCAGAAGATGTGATGACTGAAACAACTTTAACGGCCAAGGTTCACACTAACCAGAAGGATTCCGACATATGTTGAGGACCGGCCAGGCAGGGGGCCACAGAAGCGCACCTCCCCTGCATGAACAGTGTCCTCAAGGGGGAAACAGACCCGCTGGCCGATGTGGAATGACTGAGGTGACGCAGGGCCTCGGACCTGGTTAGAAGCAATGATGGGTGTTGCCTCAGTAGTTCGAGAGAGTATGGTCAGTGGCTGAGGTGGGATACTAGCGAGAGGCTGCTGGACACTAATGCGACGTCCAAGTTGTTGCTGCTGCAGCTGCTGATGGAGCTGCTGTTGAAGCTGCTGCTGCTGGAGCTGCTGCTGCTGCTCCTTCTGAAGTTGCTGCTGCTGTTGGTGGTGAAGCTGCTCCTTCTGAAGTTGCTGCTGCTGTTGGTGGTGAAGCTGCTCCTTCTGAAGTTGCTGCTGCTGTTGGTGGTGAAGCTGCTCCTTCTGAAGTTGCTGCTGCTGGAGCTGCCGCTGCTGATTCAGACGATCATTGTTGCCACGGTGCCCATTGATAGGGTGGCGGCTGCTGCGTTGATTGCCTTTGCCGCGGGATTTCACGGGTGAATCTGGGGTACTGGTGCGGGTCCAATGGCGGACTTGGATGTGACTGACGGGAACTAAGAGGCCACATGCTTCTGGACAAGTGAAGTAACGGTAACCTTTGTAGGAGCCATTGTTTGTTCCTTTGCCCACCGCTGAACCCTGATTGACAAACAGAGGAAATTAGACTTCATCATACGTTTCAAACAACTGTGCAAAATTTTTTGCATGGAAAATCTTTTTCTTCTTTCAATTTTCAACACTAATTTCAGTTTTGGGGCTAGTTTAACAACATTAATCTATAATAATGAACAATGAATTGTAGCTCAGGTTGAGTCTTTGAACAAATTCTTCTTGTTTAAACATTTCATTTTATATCCAAAAGACTTCTTCAGTCTGAGGAGCTGCAACAAACTCAGTCTTATAAATAGCACCTTCTCATAGTGGATCAACCAGTTTACTGCTGACAGCCAGAACTAGTTGTTCATATGCAAAAGGAGGACCATCAGCATAACGACAGATCATTAGCACCCTGATGGCCGCTTGCTATTCACAGGGGGCTGAGTGATACTAGCAATAACGGCATTGTAACAGGGGGACAGTTGAACATGGAGGCCTCCACCCCTGTTTAATGATGGACAGTTTCTCTTCACAAAGATGGCCTCCTTTACTCCTCTCTCAAACAACTGTTCCTCTCTATGAAGGATGTGAACATCTTCATCCCCGAGAGTGACCTCTGGCCTGCAGATGAGTGCACAACACAGTGTCCTGGCCTGACATTTGGGGTGCATTCACACCAGATAGTCCAGTAGACTCGGTTCGGGACCAATATTCATAACATTTTGTTTACATTTGAGCTGGTGTGTTTGCATTCACACTGCACTGTGCAGTCGAGTCAACCTGTTGAACCAACCTGTTCACCCGCTCGCCTGTGGGGGCGCTGCACCAAGAACTACTGAAAGAAACAACACAAAAACCTCTGAAGACACGTCTTCTTCTGTAAATAAAAACAAAAATGAAGCGGCATCAAGTTTTAGCAGTTTTAGGAGTTATATTTTGTCATTTTTCAAAAATGGACTTAGCATGAGCAGAAGATGAGACAGAAGACGATGGAGATTATTGTTTTTCACACAAGGCAGCTGACGGCTCCATATAAGGTCAGAGAAATGCGTGTTTGTTTGTGTTGCGCTGCACTCCACTTCTTGCTTGTGGAGCGGGGCTCGGTCTGTTTACATTCACACTGCACTCGAACCGCGCTGGAGTTCGCTTCTACCGGACCGAGACCTAGGTTTTAGCCCGGGCCAGAGTTCGCCTTTTTGTTCCGTGACAGAGTTCGATGGTGCGTTCACACCTCCCTAAACGAACCGGACTTTCTAGGGAAACGAGCTAGAGTTCGATTAAAGCGGACTAAACAGGGCTGGTGTGAACTGGAAACTGATGTGTACCACAAACCCACCCACCCAAACCAGTATTTGCAGTTTGACTCCCATCACCACCTGCAGCACAAGTTAGGAGTCATCAGGACTCTGTAGCACAGAGCAGACAGTGTCCCCACTAACTCAGGAGCAGTCCCAGTGGCTTTTAAACCCCAAAATACATTACGGCAAAGACTGGTTCAGCCCAAAGATCCAGTCCCCCGGCACAAACAGAGTAATATTGTGTATGCTGTTCAGTGTCAGAAGGGTGATCAGTCTTACATCGGGGAAACTAGACAGCCATTGGCCAAAAGGATGGTCCGGCACAGAAGATCATTATCTTCATACCAGAGGTCACTCTCTCAGGGATGAAGATGTTCACATCCTTCATAGGGAGGAACGATGGTTTGAGAGAGGAGTAAAGGAGGCCATCTTTGTGAAAATAAATCGTCCATCGTTAAACAGGGGTGGAGGCCTCTGTGTTCAACTGCACCCCTCAAACAATGCGGTCACTCAGCCCCCTGTGAATAGCAAGGGGCCTTCTGGGTACTAATGATCAATTGTTAGACTGATGGTCCTCCTTTACCATGTGATCCACTAGTTTTGGATGTCCCCAGCAAGATGTTGCTTATAAGATGGAGTTTGTTGCAGTTCCTCAGACTTTAGAAGTTTTTTGGATAAAAGAAGAAATGTTTCAAGAAAGAAGTATCCATCCATTTATCTACCTGGATTATTGAACATGCATCAGGACATTCACCCTATGCATGTTTGCTTGGTTTGTTTTGAAGCTGCAAGAGACATTAATAAACAAAAACACAACTCCTCTTTACTTTTTAATAAAGGTTCGTTGCGTCTGTAATCGCATCAGTAATTTTGCACAAAGCTGCTTTGGTTAAACATAAAATGAGAATAGTTGTTTTTAAAGTAGTAGTGACAAGGGACTGGTCTTCCAATATAAGACTTTACAACACCACTTTTAAGTTGCATTTGGGCCTAAAAAAAAATCCAACCTGGCCCGGACCGACTGATTAACTGTAATTAAGGGTCTGAACCCCAAAAAAACTAAACAAAAAAACCCCCGATTTTTTAAAATTAAGCTTTTACTGTTTAATTGATAAGCAAATCAATTTGACATAATATTTTAAAAACATATTTCAAAGAAAGTAAGATATGACTTCTTGTTTCACCAAATGGATATTAACATATAAAATGAATAGCCTAAAAATCAAACCTAAAGACAGGCTGTTATAGAGATGAACAAAAATTATTTTAGAGCAAAATTATTTGGAAAAATATAGAACAAGGCTATTTTAATGGAAAGTGCTGCTCGCTTTGGTTTTTGTAGCTTCGGCTTTTGTAGCTTCAGATGCTGCAACTTCCTTCACTGCAGATAAGAGAAGGGTGTGGAGCGGAACGTGCACAGCTGATGATCCGGTGATCCATCCAGCCGGTCAGCAGACGCACGCGGCTGATGATCCGGTGATCCATCTGAAGCTTAACAGGACTTTTTTTTTTACCTTTTAACCGGCCGGTCGGACCTGTGTGCACCTGACACACATCAGCAGGTTTCACTCTGCTGGCTTTGTAGAGTGAGTTCTCCCATTTTTAGCTTTTGTTTAATACTTTCCAGCTCTGTTATGTCACTTGTGATAAGAACAGGGTGGGCGGGGCCACATGCGCAATTGTTGCGCAACGCACCAGCGCTACTCTCTCTTTTCACAGTCTGATTAACTGCTGCACTCTTTTTTTCCATTCTTCATCCTCTCAACATCTAAACTTACTGCCTCCTCTACAAGCAGATTAACACAATTTTACATTGTGCATTCTTATTTAGTTTAAATTGTGCTGTAAGATTCCTAAAACCGCATCAAAAGCCCGAAACTGATCGGCCCGCCCATCAAGCACATAATTTTGGCACGACGTCGGGCATGGGTTAGAAATCTCATCTCTAACCACTCGTCATCTTTAACTGTGTCCTAACAATCAGATGGACTTCAGGTTCATCATTTCATGCATAGGCTCCCATCAACACCAGAGCAAAGACGACAGTGTTTGGTGTGTTGTTGTTTGCGGGAGATAAGGTCTGATGATGAGTGGTGTTGTATCATATTCAGCACTAAGTCTCAGTTCTGAGAACCACTTTGGGCAATGTTATGAAATGACACGCTACTGTTACTTCTGGCATCATAGTTTAGGGTGTCATAGTGCACAACTTCAGGTGACCACTGATCCTGACAGCGCAGCGCTAAGTCAGTGCTGTCCTGTGTCCACATCTTACCCATCCTGAGACAGCACCCTGTTTGTCAGCATGACTACACCCATATCTACGAACTGCCTACACCAACTTCCTGTGGTCCCTCAACCTTTTACCAAACGTGTGGAATCAGCTTGGACATCAAATTTGATCCAAAGTCAACTTGTTAGATCTTGAGGGCCAATGATTACCACTGTAATGGAATCACAAAGCTTTTCAACTGAGGCCACTTCTACCACTTCCACTGTACACTTACATTTTATGTTACTGAGTGTTCTGTTGATAGTAAGATACCCTTTCAAGTAAGAGTCTAAGTGGACCTACACAATGCCAGCAAAAGATTTTCCACAACATTACAGACATGCAGCATAGTTCAAATGAAGGAATTAAGAATCCAAAGTTTCATATGACATTTTTGAAAATCCCAGTCGCCTGAATAAAACTTGTACCTTCAGTTCCACCCCAAAGAACACAGCGCTGCTCCCTCTGATTAGAGGCCCTTTAAACTTGAGTTCTGCCTCGGCCAGCTCATCTTGCTGGCCTATTTGGACCCACAGTTGGGAACCGACAGGTAGAGACGCCAAATGTCGAAGGTTTTCGGGATTGTCTGAAAAATGCACAACGATAAATAACAAAGAAGCTGTTAGCTGTCCATTCTGAAATTGATGGTCCAGTCCAAGTTTACTTCCCATTTTCAACAAACAGGAAACAGCGCTGCTACTTTGATAATATTTACTGTTCTCTTATCCTTATTTACACTGTGTTATATCACAACCCCATCAACACATAACTAATGCCTTACTTAGAAGGTTGAGTCGAACGTCCAGATCCTGTACAGGTTCCACCAGGTTGACGAGGTCGACTGAGATTTCTAGCAGGTACTTCTTCTCTAATTTTATAACAAGTTCAATGTCTAACATCTGCAAAAACAAAACAAACAAACAAACAAATAAAAACAAGTTGTTTGGAAAATAGCAAACAAGTATCATAATTACCGTTCTATTTTTTTCCCCACACGCTTTGAACATTGCGGATTATACAATGCAACTGCTAATTTATGGCTTTTTTAAAATTTAATATTTCATTTACCAGGCCAACAAGCTTCCTGCTGCCAAAAGACATTTTGCTTTGTCACACCTAGGTGCTCACATAGCTACCCAACATTCACCTGTCTTAAGGGTGGGTCTTTGTGAGACAGAGTGAACACCACAGGTAGTCAAGACAAATACCTATCTCACTCATGGTTACTGTACGCTACTGAATGGACTAACGTACAAACCGGATTCCAAAAAAGTTGGGACACTAAACAAATTGTGAATAAAAACTAAATGCAATGATGTGGAGATGGCAAATGTCAATATTTTATTCGTGATATAACATAGATGACAGATCAAAAGTTTAATCTGAGTAAATGTAACATTTTAAAGGAAAAATATGTTGATTCAAAATTTCACAGTGTCAACAAATCCCAAAAAAGTTGGGACAAGTAGCAATAAGTGGCTGGCAAAAGGAAATTGTGCATATAGCGAACAGCTGGAAGACCGATTAACACCAATTAGGTCAATTGACAACATGATTGGGTATAAAAAGAGCTTCTCAGAGTGTCAGTGTCTCCCAGAAGCCAAGATGGTAAGAGGATCACCAATTCCACCATGGTTGCGCAGAAAGATAGTGCAGCAATACCAGAGTGGTGTTACCCAGCGTAAAATAGCAAAGACTTTTAAGTTATCATCATCAACCGTGCATAACATCATCAAAAGATTCAGAGAATCTGGAACAATCGCTGTGCGTAAGGGTCAAGGCCGTAAAACTCTACTGGATGTTCATGATCTCCGGGCCCTTAAACGTCACTGCACCTCAAACAGGAATGCCACTGTCAAGGAAATAACAGAATGGGCTCAGGAATACTTCCAGAAAGCATTGTCAGTGAACACAATCCACCGTGCCATCCGCCGTTGCCAGCTGAAACTCTACAGTGCAAAGAGGAAGCCATTTCTAAGCAAGCTCCACAAGCTCAGACGTTTGCACTGGGCCAGGGGTCATTTAAAATGGAGTGTGGCAAAATGGAAGACTGTTCTGTGGTCAGATGAGTCACGATTTGAAGTTCTTTATGGAACACTGGGACGCCATGTCATCCGGACCAGAGAGGACAAGGATAACCCAAGTTGTTATCAACGCTCTGTTCAGAAGCCTGCATCACTGATGGTACGGGGTTGCATGAGCGCTTGTGGCATGGGCAGCTTGCATGTCTGGAAAGGCACCATTAATGCAGAGAACTATGTTCAGGTTCTAGAACAACATATGCTCCCATCTAGACGTCATCTCTTTCAGGGAAGACCCTGCATTTTTCAACACGATAATGCCAGACCACATTCTGCAGCAATCACAACATCATGGCTACGTAGGAGAAGGATCCGGGTACTGAAATGGCCAGCCTGCAGTCCAGATCTTTCACCTATAGAGAACATTTGGCGCATCATAAAGAGGAAGGTGTGACAAAGAAGGCCCAAGACGATTGAACAGTTAGAGGCCTGTATTAGACATGAATGGGAGAGCATTCCTATTTCTAAACTTGAGAAACTGGTCTCCTCTGTCCCCAGACGTCTGTTGAGTGTTGGAAGAAGAAGGGGGGATGCCACACAGTGGTAAAAATGGACTTGTCCCAACTTTTTTGGGATTTGTTGACGCCATGAAATTTGGAAACAACAGATTTTTCCCTTAAAATGATACATTCTCTTAGTTTAAACTTTTGATCTGTGATTTGTGTTCTATTCTGAATAAAATATTAGATGTTGGCACCTCCACATCATTGCATTCAGTTTTTATTCACAATTTGTTTAGTGTCCCAATTATTTTGGAACCCGGTTTGTATAACGAACGCATACACTACGTAGGCTAAGAAGAACAGGCTAATTAAACAATGCTAAACAGCTGGGGGGTGGGGGCTCATTTCTCAGTGAGACACTTCCTCATTGTTTCATTGTGGTTGACTGCTGGTCACATGGCTTCAGGGAGGGATTATGGGTAAAATTTATGTTCAATTATAATCATTTCAGTTAGATGTTTAACATTTTTCTTTTAGTGATTGGTCTGTTCTTAGCAAAGTTTGTTCATTATGTGTTAGGTCATTCAAGAGTAACCATGATTGAGGGAGGCAGTTGGCAGAAAAGGTGTGATTCACTCTGTCTGTTGTTGAACAGTAAGATAAAGTTTATGAAATGCCATCTGGTGATTGATTCTTGAGCTACAACAAGTCATACATCTCTCTGTGTGCTGCCTCTCATGTTACAATGTGAACACCTGCGGCTTATACACGAGCGTGACTTATGTATACAAAATTATGTTTTATTTTTAATTTAGTGTGCACGACATATATCCGGGTGCGCTCTATAGATCGGCAATTACGGTAATCAAAAGTACAATAGCATGGCTAAAACAGGACCATTTTGGGAGGGTGCCTAGATTGTTCTGAGCCAAATGTTATTCATGTGATGACTATCCTACTCTCTATAAAAACACTGAACCAATAGCAATTTTTTTTTTCACCAAAAATCAGGTAAACTCAATTAGGTATACATTTTAAACTGTGGCAATATGGGCTGAAACATAAAACACATACACAAAACAGTTATATAATAATAATAATAATAATAATAATAATAATAATTTTATTTAAAAAGCACCTTTCAGGACACCCAAGGACACTTATATGTTCTCTAAGTACAAGTTAATCAGATGAGGTACCGCTTTGCAAAGATCTGTAATAAAAGACCCAAACTATCATCCTTAAGTGAAATAAAAACATTTAAAATGTTCAGGAATCACCAAGGCCCAAGCTTGGGAAAAAAAACAAAAAACTGGAAACTGCTGGAACACCAGTATCTCTGTCCAGTGAAACCAGTTCTACATCTTCACGGACTGAGAGGGTGCAAAGAAAAAAGCTCCAGCTTCAAAAGCAACACCTTCAAGCTGGACTGAAATGTGCTGCTGACACAAACAGGCCAAATGACTTCTCGTTAGTGAAATGGGGAAATTCCACTGTAAAGCTTTATGGCCAAACGAGACAAAGAGAGTGAGATTTGGCCACAGTGACAAAAAATTTGTTTACTACTGTACCACTTGTCAAGCGTGGTGGTAGTACCATCATACTGTGGTTACTAGAAGACTGAAATATTTGGAGGATTACCTCCAAACACGCCAACTTCATGTCAAATCAACAACGAGATGATTAAAGCTTGGATATGGTCAGGTAGCCCAACGGGACAATGAGCCCAAACACTCACCAGAGCTGGTTTCTGATTGGATAATTCAGGCTGCCATAAAGCTTCTGGAATGTGTTTCTCAAAGCCTCGACCTCATACCTATTGAAAGTTTGTGGACTATGCTTAACAGCTGGGTCTGAGCCAGGAAACCAATCAACCTAAATGGACTCTACTAATTAGGTCAAGAAATGTGGTCCAGTATCAGTCAGAGTTATGTCAGAAGATTGTTGATGGACACAAAAACAGTGTGGTTGAGGGACATTTAAACCAAACATTGGTGTGGGTGTATCATTTTTTTTATTATGAGTGAATTAAAGAAAATCCACGATAATTAGCAGTGAAGCTGGTACTGTTCCTACAGAATGACCTAACTAAGTGTGGTGACGAACTCTGCTACAGAAGGGTCCAAAATTATAAACTACGTCCAAGCCACGGGCTAGTTTCAGTCAATACCGGGCATCTTTTCTTGATTGTAGGAACGAGTTTGAACCGTCTCATTTATGTTCTCTGTTGCTTTTCCACATCAAAATTACATTTTTTTTTTTTTGAAAAATCCAAACTTTTAAGACAACTGTTATGAGAAGTCTGCCCTAAAATAAAGTATTTATCAGTTTTAAAAACTAAATGAGAAGCGATAGAAACATTTTGAATTTAAAATATTATCTTGGAAGGCCACATAAGATGTTATGGAGGGCCAGATTTGGCCCGCGGGCCTTGGTTTTGACACACGTGCTAGAGAGAAACCAGTTTTCATTTGACGACTTCTGGTCAAGTGAGTGCTGCTACCTTAACCAAGAGGCTGTCCCCTCTGCTCTTGCCAACATCTTGCTCCTGGCAGATGAAGCCCCTCTGCAGACAGATGTCTCCTTCCAGCTGGTCCTGGATCCACAGGTCCGTCAAGATGACGAACGTTTTAAAGGGACGGCGCTTCCTGTTCGGCTCGTGAGCTCCTGACATCTTTCAGGTGTTTGTATCTGCAGCTGCTTCACGGTGGAGTAAAGTCGCTCTGATACAGAAATGTGTTTAAAAGCAAAGAAGCGACACGAAGGCTACGTTTCCGTTCACCTGGAGGACGGACAGCAGGTAACAACTGTGTCGTAGCATTTAAACTTTACCACTGAAGTCTAAAATAACAGCTCTTAACAGCTAGAACCGACTTTATGACACACCATTAAACAGCAAACCACGCAACTAACTCGGAAACATGACTGTGCGGTGTTTTTAAAAACAACTCACCAACTTTTTCAACTCCGACTGTCAACATTTCCCCTCATATTCAAAGGGAGCTCCGTTCAAAAACAAACCGCACCGTGAAGCAGGAAGCGGGATGAGTGACAGGACGCTCAGCCAATAGCGTGCGAGAACAAAATCAAGGTGGAGTCTAAACCAATCAGAACACCTGTGGGCGTTATCGATACGGGGAAATTCCATTGTTAGCGCCACGCATTTAAGAGGCACAAACACAACGTGGGAGCATCAGGTTTTATTTGTATTTATAAATACAATAGAAAACATTTCCACATGAAGCTTTTCTTCAGTTCACAGTTCTGATCCTTCATAAAAATACAGCATAAAGAAGGAGAACCTGGATCTTCCATCAAAAACAGATTTCAAAAGTGCATTGTCATCTTCAGTATGTTGGTTTTCATGGCCCATTCACACTTTACACACTTCCAGTTGAATAAATGTCACATTTAAAACCACATTTCCCAGCAACATGGTCTCAGTGATTTATTTTTATCAGTAATATCTAAACTTTGTCCTAAAAAGGCAATTTAGCCAAGAATGTTGTTTCACCAGAAATATTTTGAATTTACTAAAAGAAAAAAAATCCTAATTTTTTGTTTTGTTTCACCCCATTGGTTTATTTTACCACATATTTGGAGATGAAACAAATGTCAAACATGTAAACAAAAGTGTTATAGGTTAAGTGTCTTTTTCTCTACATAATCACTGTAGCTTTAATTACAAAAGTTTTACTTTGTTCCTACCTGAACACAAATAAAATTCATCTTTGACACATTTCCCCTGTTATAAATTATACTTTTATGGTGCATCTCTAGAAATTAAAGCTGTGATTTTTCTTCACCCAGAAGAGAAAATAAAAGTGTAATAGCTGTTCATTCAGAACATTTGCTTTTTGACTTTGAGCCACGTTTCTTCTGTAAGAAATAGTTTAAACAATAAAACAACTAATTGTGCTGTAATGCCATTCAAACTAACAAAATAAAAGCTTATTTTAGAGACTAACACAGTCATCAACATGACTGAGCAGTTCATGAGTCAGCTGCTTGTGCTTTCATGTGCGGTGCTGGGATTGTTTTTAGCGTCTCATCCGAGAAGACAACCTCTGTCTGCCATGCTGCACATCTGTAAGAGCTAAGGCAGCATCTGTACAGATGCCCGGGCTCGGCTGAACCAGTGCTTTAAGTCCTCGCAACAGAAGGAGTCGTCTGGTTTAGTCCCAGCGGACTGCTGCACCAGATGAGGATCAGGCAGCTCAGGTCGGACCAGAACTGAGGGGTCGACTAGTCCGTGTTAACGAAGTAGGTGGTGAGCTCCCCTTTGCCCTTCACGGTGATCGCTCCTCGGAGCGTGACGTCGTATCCGATGCTCTGGATAATCTGGGATGTTTCCTCTGTCACCTGAGAGCACAGTCAAACAATAAAAACATCTTTAAGGTGAACCCAACCACGTTTCGTCTGCTGCTTCTGTTTCAGAAGAGCTACACGATACACAAGTGGAAACTTTCCACTCCTCATCTTTTTCTGCGTTAATGTTTCCTTTAGCCGTTGTCTGAGGTGAAACAAAATGGAAACCAGTATGACAGCTGGAATGATCATACACACAAAATATACATTTTTAACTTAAAATAGCCCAAATTACAAGTTGATAAAACACAAACAGCAGATATGATGATGGCAAACATGAATTATGTTGGCATGTTTTTAAACAGGAGTATTTTCTGACCTGTATCTTGTCCAGCAGCCCCGTGCTGTCCATCCTGCTGGCAACGTTAACCGTGTTCCCCCAGATATCATACTGGGGTTTATGGGCTCCGATCACTCCTGCAATCACCGGGCCGTGGTTAATTCCTGCAGGGAGACGACAAACAGCTAACCAGTGCTCGTACAAACACTTAAAGAGGCAGTTTGAATCTTTTGAAGCCAGGTTCTGTAGAAAGGTTATACGTTTTAATATCTTACCTGTTGTAGGTAGCTCCTTAACATCAGTTTGGAGAAATAGTTCATCAGTCTGAGCAACATTAAACTGTTTCTCCAACATGAGGTTGATCAAAGAGCCATCTACAGCAAGTAAGATATTGTTGTTCACAACTTTTCCACAGAACCCCACATTCAAAGAGCTGACCTATCATGTTGATATCTTTTTGTTGTGAAGTCAGCTTTCATGAAGTTAAAGCCATCAGGACTAGTCAACTAATCTGCTCAAGGGGCCACAGTTACTGAAAGCCAAGAGCTCAGGGGACGGACATCCAGCAGTTATTGTCATTAAGTCAGTTTGTTTTATGATTTAAAGTATAGTTATATTTAAAACTGAACCCATTGGTGGGTCGAACTGAGCTCACTCGTGGGCTTGATTTGGCCCCCGGGCCGCCAGCTGAATAGCTGCTGTGCATCTTTACTCGTTTAATTTCAGTCATCGATACTTTAAAAAGTTAATATTTTAATTTACAAATAAAGTCTAGCATTCCTTGAAGGACTGTTTTATCTGGCGATGAAGCTAAAATTTACACTGATCAATTTACAAAAGATAATACACGTAAATAAATATTTAGTAATCTGACCCCCATGTCTTCTTATTGAGTAAAACACTTAGACATATTTTAATAATTTCCAACGGGTTCATTCTCTCTGCTCAACACTTCATGGTCACCACTTGATTGTTCTTTGTGTTTGTTCAATAAACATTAAAAACATAAAACCTGAAGATGTTGTAAATACAAGGATAAATACCTCCTGGAGAGATAAAACAGGTGACGGGAGTTATTTGATCTGTGATCTTGATAAACCTCCAACAGACTCACCGATCCTGAATTTGAAGCTGTTAAAGGAGTGGGAGTTGATTTGCTCCAGTTTGCCCCTCATGGCGAGGGCGAACTCCAGCATGCAGCGCACATGGCTGTAGGTCACATCAACTTTCTGTAGAGGGAGCCAGAGTTCATGCAAATCAGTCAACTCGTCCAGTTTGGTAAAATACAACTTCCATTAGAACATCCTTCATGTGAGCTGTGGACTGTTTCTAACCTGCTTCACACAACCAAGAGCTCAAAGAAAGAGGTCTTGAAATAAGCTTTAAGAGCTCAAACCTTATTGTCTTCTCCTTGGGGTAAGTGTGCCAGTCCTACAGCAGCCATGTACGTGCTGCCGATCGTCTTAATCTTCTCTACTGAGGAGAACTTGGGCTTCATCAGAAGCTGAGAGCAGAAAAAACAGAGAGAAAAAGACGGATGGAGTGAGACTTGAGAGACGGACGAGTTTAATAACGGCTTCACTTTTCGTTGTACCTCGTCGAAGTCGACGATCATTTCGTTGAGCAAGCGCAAACACTCCAGACCGTCTCCGTTAACGCTGCTCTCTGTGTAAAAGTCTTTGAACTGAGGGATGGATGCAAACATCACACACACACACTCGTACGACTGACTGTACAGGTGCTGGAAAAAAAAAAAAAGTCCAGTTCAAATATTGATCCCACGTCTCAACTAAAGTCAAATGAGCGCCAACATTTACAGGGATAATTAAGCCATTTTGAAGTGGAGCTCAGCAGTTATGGACAATTAATATCCTACCTGTTGTAGATAGCTCTTTGATCAACTTCAGTTTACAGAAATGGAGTTTAATTTGGACTGACTTCACGAGCTAACAGCTACTCTACACAGCTAAAGCCAAAGTGGATTTTCTCAAAACTCATAAAAACTTCATAGCAGTTTATGTACCATTTCCAGAGTATAAGTCACAGTTTTTTTGCATAAATTAGCATGCCTGCGACTTATACAGCGAAGCAACACATTTATGTTTTATTTCTTCCATATTTATAACACAATTTTTGGATGAGATCTGATGATTTCATTCATTCTGACATGGAAAATATTGAACACTACCATTTGCAGCCACTAGAGGGCCCTCAACTAATATGGCAAGCCAAGTGTCTCACTAACAGGTAAAAGTGGCTATTAATGAGACACTTGGCTTGCCATACATTTGTCTCACTCCGGAACTCCTGGAGCAAACGTCACATCAGCTGCATTTCGCCACGCCGCCCAGGAGAAATGAAATAAATTTGACCATTAAGGTGCATTTCTCAAGTGAAAGATCAACTGAGACGCACCTTTACTATAATGTTGAGCAAACAAATAATTGTTTTTAGATGGTTGGCTTGTTAAATTTCAAAGAAATGCACAGCAAGTCGTCCCTCTGCACACTCCCGCTTCCACGAATCCATCCATCCATCCATCCATCCATTATCTCCATCCATCCATTATCTTTACCCGCTTATTCCATTTTGGGTCACGGGGGTCGCTGGTGCCCATGTCCAGCAGTCACTGTGCGAGGGGCGGGTACACCCTGGACGGGTCGCAAATCCATCACAGGGACACATAGAGACAAACAACCATTCACTCTCTCACTCACACCTAGGGACAATTTAGAGTTACCATCAGCCTAACATGCATGTTTTTGGTCTGTGGGAATAAACCGGAGTATCCGGAGAAAACCCACACATGCACGGAGAGAACATGCAAACTCCACCCAGAAAGGCCCCTGGACTGGGGTTTGAACCAAGGACCTGCTCGCTGAGAGGCAGCAGCTCTACCAGTTGCGCCACCGTGCTGCCCCTTCCACGAATCAGTTTTTGAAATGCAGCTGATTTGACCGCCAAAGTGCATTTATTAAGGAAAAGTTCAACTGAGACACACCTTTGCTATAATTTTGAGCAAACATATAATTGTTTTTAAGAGTTAATCTTGTTAAATTCTTGTTAAAATCCTCCCGCGCACGCTCCCGCGGCTGCCATTTGGCAGCCAATCAAATTCTGGCACACCGGCCCACATTTCCGGGTTGTCAGCGGTGACACGTAACAAACACGTCGCATCAGTGGTGACGCATAATAGATGCAAAACATTTATGTTTTTTCCCCCACTTTATTAGACATATTTGGACTGTTGCGACTTATACGGTGGTGCAATGTGTACGGCGGAAAATATGGTAAACAAGGCTTAAACTTTTATAATGCTGTCAGTTTTATTCCTGCTACAAGTGCCTACAGCTGCACCAGACGTGCTTGTTCTTGTAAATAACCACAGAATTATACCGAGATAACTTTGTAACACAAAGCTGACACAGGTGGAAAGGTTTTTAAAAAAACATTTTCATGAATTGCTATATTAGTTCTGGAACTAGAGTCGTTCTAAGACATCATCAATCCACTTTGGCCTCCGCTGTATTCAGACTAGCCGTTAACTCATCAGTATAGTTAGAATAAAACTGTATTTCTCTGCACTGATGTTGCTCAGACAGCGGCCTACAACAGGCAAGATAACTGGAAGTGGCAGACATGAAGATGTTGAGGTTCTCCTTAGGAGTGACAAGGATGGATCAGATTAGGAATGAGATCATCAGAAGTACAGCACTGGTTGAACAACTGGGAGATAAAGTTAGAGACCAGACTGAGATGGTTTGGACATGTCCAGAGGAGGGACAGTGGGTATATTGGTAGAAGGATGTTAGAAATGCAGCTGCCAGTAAAAAGACAAAGAGGAGATATATGGATGCAGTTAGAGAGGACATGGATGCAGAGGACAGAGATGGAGGAGGACTCGCTGTAGAAACCCCTGAAGAAGAAACAGGAAGGAGAATTGTTACACAGAATATTACGTCATAAAGAAAGATAACAGTCCTTTAATTATCTGTCTTCTTCTCCCCTAAATAATAATCTTTGTCTTAGTTTAGCAAGAAGTTGCTTTTGAACATCTGAACATGTGAAGCCAGTTGAGTGAACTCCACAAATACAAATGTTTAAGTACAAAATGTCCTCTTTTAAAGAAACTGGAAGTGTACGACTACTTCTTTAGATCGAAGCTGCTTCCATGTATTTACTTGATTGCTAACAGCTTTGCCCATGAAGAAAGAGCCGACATGAGGCGGCATGACATTGTCCAGCAGCAGCTTGTTGATGTTCTCGATGGTTTCCATCTCCTCTTGTTCTGTTTTGAAACATCTGTCCAGCAGGAAATCCACACGACAAGTCAGCTCGTCCTGAAAGAAAATTCAGTTAATATTTGTAACCACAAGTCTGTAACTCTCACAAAATAAAACTTCTGTGATGATTTTAGATCATACACCTGTCTGATCAGTATGAGGCACACAAAGTAAAAGATGACCAGCCAAACCCCCGACATGATCAGAGGGTCCTTCAGGACACCGATCCTGCAGAGACACAAACACACTCTCATATAAAACGTGACTCTGGTGTCGAGCTGACAGCTGAACCGATAACGACTTCCATTACGTATTAACTCAAACAAGAGCATCTTGTGTCTGACCCCCTCCAGGCTGGCTTCTGTCTAAAGGAAACTGCTGAATAAATGGTGAGCTGAAACTTAAGAAGAAGGATTCACAATCTGGACTCTGAGTGGTGGACAAAAGGCAGGGAATGGAACACCCTCCCTGTGAAAGACGGACTGTGTGATGTCTGCAGAGAGCGGTGGAAAATGAGCGAGACTGAGACGGCTCACAAAGTTCATTTATTGTCTGCACATGCTCATGTTTTCTTCTTAACATCAGCATAAGCTTCACTGTTTCTCTGTGGGATCTGAACCAAACTGGCCTCCACAGAACTTTCACAAATTCAGATTGAAAACTTAACATTTACAAAATGTTTTTTTTCTTCCACTGTTACTGCTGCAAGCTTTACTGTATGACCTGATGCTCAATAATCCAGACAGAAGAATCTAACAATTAAGTCAGGTCCTCTGGACGGATTCTTCTTTGCTGAAATGTTTTGTCTTTTATCCAAAAGACTTCTTCAGACTGATGAGCTGCAACAAACTCAGTCTTATAAATAGCACCTTCTCATAGTGGATCAACCAGTTTGATGGGGACATCCAAAACTATCTGTTCACATGATAAAGAAGGACCGTCAGCCTAACAATTAATTGTTAGTGTCCTGATGGCTGGCTGGAGTTCTGTTAGCAGAGAAGAAACCCAAACAGGACTCCAGCCAGCCATCCGGTGAAAAGGAGGAACCCAGACCCAGACGTCATTCCTTATGTTGCAGGAGTTTCAGAGAAGCTGAGATGTTTATTGTTGGGGGATATAAGGTCATAGATGTTTTCTCTTACTAATGTCAAATGTTATTTAACCATGTGTTAAGAGTAGGGGTTGAACGAGTATATAATTTTTAAACTCGACATTAACACAATAAAACCCGAGTAGAACTCGAGTATTTAATGACATCATAGATCTCAAGATAAAAAAATAAATAAATAAATAAAACTGCAAAAAAAGGTAATTATTTAAAAAAAAAAAAAGACCAACAAAACATTGGGAGCGTATATTATGCTCCTACCATTTATCATACTGCAAATAAGTCACAGAAAAAATAAACCATTAGTTATTATTATTAAACTGCAAACGTGAAGAAACGTGCAGCACGTCAAAAACGAAACTTAAACCGAAACTGGTTCTGGTGGATTGGACCCGGTGTTACACCATACTCTGTGACCTGCAACAGTGCAACACCGCCCCCTACGGTCATACGTGGTCACATAATATGACGTCACTACGGATACCCGACTTTACATTTTTAACCTCGATAGATGTCCTAGCAATCGATGTGTAGATTACTCGAGTACTCTGTTAATGCCCTAGTTAAGAGTGGTATTGTCTTTGCAAAGTGGAGCCTGCAGAAGCATGGAGCCTTTCACCTGATAAACTCAAGGCCCTAAGCTGGAAAGCAGAGTTGTCTTGACCTCGCCTTTGTACCATTCAGTGTTGCCAGATCTCGCGATAGAAACAAGCAACAAGCTCTATGAAAACAAGCCCAAAACAAGCCCAACTGGCAACCCACCACATTGTGTAAAACAGGTTGTTTTTAAACAGTAAAAACATACATTTATTATGACATTACACATAAACATCAGCAAAATTATGCTAAGCACTTTGAATAACATACTTTTAAGCTCCGATAAAAAAAATACATTTTGCATATTTAATTTTTTCTACATATTTTTAAAAACAAAACATCCTGACATTTGGGTGAGTGGAGCCCCCTAGTGGTCGTTGACCATATTAAGAGTGTTTGGGGTGCGCGCCGTGTGTGTCTGTCGCCTCACCAACTTGGGTGGGAGCAGGGCTTAAATTATAAACTGATTGATGCCGGAACAGCGGGCAGGCCGGGGGGGTGTGTGTGTGTGTGTGTGTGTGTGTGTGTGTGTGTGCGCATGGGGGGTCTGAGCTGAACTCTTCTCCGTTCCTGCTCCAGTCTCGTGGCACAGTTTGAAGCACCTGAAGGCTTCAATTCTCTGTTGTCCAACTAAGGACCGACCGACCGACCGACCGACCGACCGTCCGTCCGTCCATCCGTCCGTCCGTCCGTCCGTCCATCCATCCATCCATCCATCCATCCATCCATCCATCCATCCATCCATTTTTTATTAAAGTAAATTGGACAGTCTTTTTGACACTTTGATCGCTGTTGTTATTTTGACAAATTAGCGCCGATGTTTTGAAATGTCACGTATAATGTGAATAACGCATCAAACATTTCTCTCTTTGTATTTTCAATTTATTTTTTACAGTAAGCATTTTTTATTTATTATGTCTGAAATGTAGCAGGAGTTCAGACATCTGATGTGTGCGCTCTGTAGAGTTGTCTGGAGACGTTTCTATGCGTAACGTGCACTGTCCACAGGGAATTTATTTATTCTGTTAAATAAATAATCGTTTCTGCTTCGGGGGTCTGAGAGGAGGAGAGGGGGTGTTTTTCAGTGCGCAGCCCCGCTGAGGAGGGACAATATTTGGAGAGGAGAGAAGGACTCTGCGCAGGATCTCAGTGCGTAAGACCATCTGTCCCTCCGTCCTCATCCCCCCGCCTAGAGGCTCCTCTCCTGCTCCTCGAAGGAGCATGTAGCTGGTTCACTGCCCGTGCTGTGACTGGAACATCCACAGACTGGGTCCACCGGACTAAGGGCAACGTCTCCTCTCGTTGTATTTTTTAATAAATAATCAAAATAAAAATGCGCAATGACTTCAATTCTCTGTTGTCCAACTTTTAGGGGCGGAGTTGCCGGATCTGAACAAAGAGTTGCCGGAACAGAACAGGTCAAAATGAGAGAGTTCCTGTATCTTGTTCCGGCAGGATCCGTCTCAAATTAACCACTGGGCGAGAGCGATAAACAGGAAGCAGGAGCGTGGAAGGGACAAACTACCTACTACCACTCGTCTTTTGCTTTATTGTGCGGAGCTGGGAGATAATCAACTAGTTTCACCCGGAAAGAAAGTCAAGCCCAAATAAGCAACTCCGCGTAAAAAAAAAAAAGCCCCAAAAAACTTTAACCCGTGACTCACAAGATTTACAAGCGACTTTAGAAAAAAAACAAGCCCAAAGTTGCTTATAATAAGCGGACTTGGTAACTATGGTACCATTATGAAAAGACACTTCTTTATACTGCCTGTGAGTAGACTTTGTGATCCGGACATGATGCAGCATCCTGTATGCCGGTTTTCAATGCTGTTCCATCTTGCAAGATTAAAAACCTGGGTGATAAAGATCTTTTCCTTTCCTGTGTGGCTTATTTATTTAATGAGCTGATGATAGTATAATTAAAATTATCCAACATTTATTTTCTAAACACAACGTCCCAGTGGCTTTCAAACCCCAAAATACATGATGGCAAATACTGGTTCATCCCAAAGATCCAGTCCCCCAGCACAGAGTAATATTGTGTATGCTGTTCAGTGTCAGGGGGGCTGTGATCAGTCTTACATCGGGGAAACTAAACAGCCACTGGCCAAAAGGATGGCCCAGCACAGAAAATCAACATCATCAGGCCAGGACTCTGCGGTCTACACTCATCTCCAGGCCAGCGGTCACTCTTTCAGGGATGAAGATGTTCACATCCTGGACAGAGAGGAACGATGGTTTGAGAGAGGAGTAAAGGAGGCCATCTTTGTGAAAAGAAACCGTCCATCGTTAAACAGGGGTGGAGGCCTCCGGGTTCAACTGTCCCCCTCTTACAATGCTGTGATTGCTAGTATCACTCAGCCCTCTGTGAATAGCAAGCTGCCATCAGGACATCAATTGTTAGGCTGATGGTCCTCTTTTATCATGTGAACATCTAGTTCTGAATGTCAACAACAAACTGGCTCATCCACTATGAGAAGGTTCTGCTTATAAGACTGAGTTTATTGCAGCTCCTCAAACTGAAGAAGTCTTTGGGATAAAAGGCGAAATGTTTCAAGAAGAAGAATCCGTCCAGAGGACCTGACTTGACTTTGTTAGATTTCCCTGAGTATGTTGTACAAGTTGTGGTTAATGTTTTAGGCTTTGTGTGTTTAACTTGTAACTTTAAATATTCAGTCTAAAAGGGCAACAATGTCCAATGACATGATGTATTTCACTGATAACTTGGTTATTTACAACCTGCTGCTGTTTACTAAGATTCAAAATCGAAATTCAGGCTTCTGATGAAACACTCTGGATGTTTAAAATGCATCACTCACATTTTGCCACTGTGATTCATTTTCAGCAGGTCGATGAGAGAGTAGGACCTCTGGACATAAACATAGAGGAAGAGGGCCAGGTAAACCACTACAGCCAGGGTGAGCAGCAGGAACTTCACAGAGAAGCAGATCTTGACAAACACGATGACTCCCAGCATGGCCAGCAGGCAGCAGTACAGGTAGTACTACATGTTTTCACACAGAGAGGAGGAAGAGGAGGGTGGGGAGACGAATGTGTGGAAAACAGGTTGAGGCTGACGATGTCAAACTTTGGACACAATCATCTGTTAGATGTGAGGACTTTATTTATACCTAATTATTTGTAAAATGTGTAAGATTTTTTTAACTATTGTTTCAGATGTAAACAAACTCATGTGTTTATTTTAAAGCTAAGAGACTGAATGAAAAAGGACAAATATAAACAAGTAGTGCTAAGGTTAGCATTAAAAAAATGAGAGAAAATACAATTTCTTGTATAAATAAAACATTAAATCAGAAACACTGAGTTATTCATGTCGAGGTACTTACAGGTACAGTATACAGCCTGAATCCTTCTAACTCTGTGATGTTAGCCACTGAGGTGAAGTTAGTTCCTGGGAGGAAGAACTGAATAACAAAAAAACAAACAAAGAGTGAAAGACGGTTGCTGAGGGATTTACCAATCAAAACATGATAGAAAAACAATCTGATCTCTAATTTTATTTTTATTAACATTTATTTATTTAGTCTTGTTTTGGCTGCTCCCTTCTTCAGGAGTCGCCACAGCGAACTAACTCGCATGAAGACTTGGCATTCGTTTTTGCACTGGATGCCCTTCCTGACACAACCACAGACCACCGAGTTACCGCAGCCCTCTGTGTGGAGGAGAGAGCTGCCATCTAGGTCCCCTGGGGAAGCAGATGAGGGCGTTAAGGGCCCTGCTTAAGGGCCCAGGGTCGGGTTATTGATCCAGGGAGTCAAATCAGCGACCTTCCAATCACAGGTTAGCCTTCTCTGACCTCTGCAGGCAAATCCTAACGAGATCACAGATCTCTGTTGTAAGGAGGCCTAGGCCTAAAGGCAGCTTAACATGCATGTTTTTTAGGAGGAAACTGGAGTACCAGGGGAAAAAACCAACACAAACACAAGGAGAACGTGCAAACTCCACACAGAAAGACCTCAGGTCCAAACTGGGATTGAACACAGGACCTTCTGTTTGGCAAAAGTGCCAACCACTGAGTCATCATGCTGCCCAATATAACACATTAACACATTTCCACCATACCATCAACTATTTGGGAAAATGTCATGAATGCTTTTTATTTATATCTTTGTAAAATGATACTCTTTATTATTATTAATGAACTATGAAGGATTCCAACATTGATGAGTAGCACAGCTGATCTGTGTTGAGTTAACTTAATCTTGAATCCTGTTTAACGTCAAACTGTCCAAACTTTTGTTTTATGGAAGCATTTACACCCCACATTTATCAGATAATCATTGCATTTGATTAGCAGCAACTAGAGCTTATTTACCCACTTAATTCATCTGGACTTTGATTTTCATGCATTGTTTTTGCATCCCCTTTTTGTCCACCTCCTGTGGGCCCATCACCTGCAGGAGAGGCCATATGAGTCATTTGCATGATGCCACGGGCAGTGGCGGAAGGCAGAGCCTTGGCATTCTGACCCTGGCTTACCAAAGCTGGCTCTTGGGACATGGAATGTGACTGCTCTGGCGGGGAAGGAGCCTGAGCTTGTGCGTGAGGTTAAGAGATATTGACTAGATATACTGTAGTTGGGCTCACCTTGATGCACAGCATGGGCTCTGGAACCAATCTCCTTGAGAGGGGCTGGACTTCATTCCACTCTGGAGTTGCCCATGGTGAGAGGCACAGAGCTGGTGTAGGTCTACTCTTAGCACCCCGATTTGGTGTCTGTGTGTTGGTTTTCCCCAGTAGATGAGACTGGGCTGATGGTTCCTCTCTTCAAAAAGGGAGACTGGAGGGTGTGCACCAATAATAGGGACATTACTCCACTTAGCCTCCCTGGTAAGGTCTATTCAGGGGTACTGGAGAAGTGAGTCTGATCGTTGGTCAAACCTCAGACCCATAAGGAACAATGCTGGTTTTGTCCTGGCCGTGGACCACTGGACCAGCTCTTTACCCTCACTAGGGTCCTCGAGGGGGGATGGTATTTTGCTCATACAGCCTACATGTGTTTTGTGGACTTGGAGAAGGCTTTCAACTGTGCTCCTTGAGGTACACTGTGGGGGTGCTCCACAAGTATTGGATTGGGAGCCCATTGCTATGATCTGGTCAGTCTCTATACAAGCGGTGTGAAAGTTTGGTTCACATTGCCAGCAGAAAGTCAGACCCCTTCAGGGTGGGAGTTGGTCACCGTCAGGGCTGCGCATTTTCACCGATTCTGTTCATAACTTTTATGGACAGAATTTCTTGGTATAGCCAGGGGGCTGAGGGAGTCTGGTTCTGTCACCTCAAGATTCCATCTCTGTTCTTTGCAGATGATGTGGTTTTGTTGGCGTCATTGTGCTGTAATCTTCAGCTCTCACTGGAGCGGTTTTTAGCCAAGTGTGAAGCGGCTGGGATGAGACTCAGCACCTCCAAATCTGAGGCCATGGTCCTCAATCGGAAAAGGGTGAATAGCTCTCTTCGGGTCGAGGGTGAGGTTCTGCCTCAAGTGGAGGAGTTCAAGTATCTCAGGGTTTTGTTCACAAGTGAGGGAAGAATGGAGCGTGAGATTGACAGACAGATTGGTGCAGCGTCTGCAGTGTTAAGGACTCTGTGCCAATCTGTTGTAAGAGGGAGCTGAGCTGTAAGGCAAAGCTCTCTGTTTACCGGTTGGTCTACGTTCCTACCCTCACCTATGGACACGAGCTTTGGGTAGTGACCGAAAGGTTGAGATCGCAGATACAGGCGGTTGAATTGTTTCCTCCGCAGGATAGCTGGAGTCTTCCTTAGAGATAAGGAGAACTTAAGAGAGGGTGAGAAGTTCAGTAATCCAGAAAAGACTCATAGTAGAACCACTGCTCCTCCACCACAAGAGGAGCCAGTTGAGGTGGTTCAGGCATCTGGTAAGGATGCTCCCTGGCCACCTCACTAGGGAGGTGCTTTGGGTATGTCTGACTGGGAAGAGACCCCAGGGAAGACCCAGGACACTCCGAAGAGACTATCTCTCTTGGTTGGCCTGGGAATGAGATGTCTGGACTAGGAATGTGCGATATATATGGTACATAGTAGAAATGATAGACATTTAGCCTATGATAGAGGTCTGTCTTCTACTGGCTAACCGCAGTAATGCTGTGTCTGATGTAAAATCAGAGTTGTCTGATTTAATAGTTACTTTTTTAGTTGAAAACTGTGTGTAAGTGGTGTTAAAGTCTTTTCTTCGAGAGCTAAGTAGCGAAGCTACAAGCTAACTACGGCCGGCTTGCTGTAGTGTTGCCGTATTCGGACGCATGTGCAAAACGCTGTGTTCCGTCAAAAGGTTTTTGTTTTTTTTCTGTCAAAAGTTAAAGTAAGTGTTGGTCAGCTTTAGAGAAACCTGCTCTCTGATCTATGAAAAGAACAGTGTTGTGTGATTTTACTGCGAGACCCTCTGGTCAAAGCCACAGAGGAAACTGGTTGCCATTTAATGTCAGCTCTCCTTAAAGCGGAAAGAGACGCCCACTAGAGGGTTGAAGGGTGAAGTGTTTCAGTTTGCACTTGCTGCTCTGTTGCTGTTCATTTCTTAAGTGAGACGACTGGAAACTGTTATGAGTTAACAACATATTCTTTTGTTTAAAACATATGGCAAAAACTACATGTGATATCTTTTGCACTGTTTTGCACTACAAGAAAGAATCCTAATACTTGATTTGTTTTGTATTTAAAAACTCTCTGGACCTAGTAGTGGAATTTTCTTAATTGAGATTATTTTGTGGCATAGCAGTTTTCAAAATAAATGATGGCAAAATGATACCCTATGCTTTTATTCATTCCTATTGCAAGTTTTATACCAAAAACATATTGTGATATATATCGTTATCGCCACCCTTCACAATACATATTGTGATATGAATTTTATGCAATATTGCACATCCCTAGTCTGGACCTCCCTGCTCAAGCTGCTGCACCCATGACCTGACTTTAGAACAAGCGGAAGATAATGGATGTTTTTGCATTTTGTCTGAGTTTTTGTTTAATAAATAATGAGGCGGTGTAATCTTTCATGTTGTTGTTCATCTGAAGGTGTTTCTATTCATTAAAGCACACCGAGGACCAATGTTTAATGTTGGTTAAGGCCATATACTAAAAGTTTAGCACTGACTCACCGTCTACAATGCTTCAGCTGTTATTTTAAATTTATATTTTATTTTTTTGTTTACAAAATATATATTTTGGTCACATTATTTTAATAAAATGGAAAAAATTGCCCCACTCCACTAGGTGATGAGAACGTCTACATTAATGAGATATCAAATATCATTGAAATAATATTTTTAACCTGCCTAAACATTTTCCCTAACCAGTGGTGCCTTACTTTATTATATTTGTTTTTTTGTCCTTTGATACCGTTTATTATTTCAGTTATTAACCATTTCAACCAACAAAGTTTTATCCTGACAGGATCAGGATAAAGAGACAGATGCAGCATCCCCCCATCAAACAGACATGTTTCCTCAAATTTTAAAATATTAGAAGTCATTTAAAATATATTCAAAATAGTGTAGATAGAGCCTAGAGGGCGTACTTCATTTTCCATTTATTTATTTATTTCTGATTGAAATATTTTTTAACAAAAAAGTGAGATACTCACAAAATTGAGGATGGCCATGAGTAAGACAATGAGGACACAGAGAATGACCACAAACAGCCGCAGCACCGCCTTGGTCGAGACGCCCCGAGACAGATGTGAGATCCACTGGGCATTCAGAGGCATCTTAGAGCGCAGTTTCTTAAATAAACAAAAACATGCACAATTTATTACAGGATTAGTATTGCTCTAATTCTAGGCCATATTTGGTCCATAAATTTGTTACGATAAATAAATAAATAAATATATATATATATACACAAACCGGATTCCAAAAAGTTGGGACACTAAACAAATTGTGAATAAAAACTGAATGCAATGATGTGGAGATGGCAAATGTCAATATTTTATTCGTAATATAACATAGATGACAGATCATAAGTTTAATCTGAGTAAATGTAACATTTTAAAGGAAAAATATGTTGATTCAAAATTTCAGTGTCAACAAATCCCAAAAAAGTTGGGACAAGTAGCAATAAGTGGCTGGAAAAAGGAAATTGAGCATATAACGAACAGCTGGAAGACCAATTAACACTAATTAGGTCAATTGACAACATGATTGGGTATAAAAAGAGCTTCTTTGAGTGTCAGTGTCTCTCAGAAGCCAAGATGGTAAGAGGATCACCAATTCCACCATTGTTGTGCAGAAAGATAGTGCAGCAATACCAGAATGGTGTTACCCAGCGTAAAATAGCAAAGACTTTTAAGTTATCATCATCAACCGTGCATAACATCATCAAAAGATTCAGAGAATCTGGAACAATCGCTGT